ACCACGCCGTTTTGAAATAAAATTTACCCACGTCAATTACGTTTATTTTCAAACCAGTTGGCAAAATATCGCCTTCTACTATTGTAAACGGAAAATTGGTCGTTTATCAAAGTTACGGGGTAAAAACCAGCTCCAAGCTTTGTTTGTTTTTGAGTCAAGGAGCTCAACAAGGATAGGAAATTAAAGACGGCGAAAGACATGAAGATATCTAAATTAAAGCCGAACAAGGTGTCACCTTTCCGAGTATATTTAATATCTAATATCCAATTTTATTTTTCATTTTGTCAATCAATCATTATTTTATTTCCACACTAAACAACTCATATTCTTTCCTTTTATCTCTTCCACTGTACATACATACACACATACATTACTTACAATCGGATTTCAGAGTAGCTTATGCAGCTAATATCTCCGAGCATTTAACCATCAGATGAGAGATAGACCGCCACCTACTCTTTTCGATTGGTGTGTGGGTTCTTTTACGTCCCACAGAATTATTTATGAAGAGTTGTGAGACGGGTCTACGGTTTAATGTCCTTATCCGAGAAGACTAGAAAGTCTAACCATTTGCTGATGTCATTACAAAGGCAGCACTTGCTCCTCAATTATTTAAAGACCCTGAGTGTTGGTCCGGCCGGGGTTTCAACCCGCGACTTCTCCCACTGAGCTAAGCGGTCGGCTTTGAAACTTGTCCATTAAATTTGACAAAACGTGATGTGTTTTTGTGTCGAATTAACAATTTTTGACTGCAGTCACTCCAAATGTAAACGTTAGAAATTAATATCTATTTGCACAACTCAAAAAAGGGAAAGCAAATGAAATATGAAAGAAAGTCTGAGGGTGAACTTGTTAACTGATGCTATTAGGGTTTGAGTCCACTTTAAAAAATAAATAAATAAAGCCCTGGGTTTAAAATTGAATTTCACCTTGAATCGAACCTGCTAATGATCAATAATAAAATCCTATAGTTTCCTGGTTGCCATTTGCTAACACAGTTACCTTTTCGAAATAGCTACGAAAAAGGCCATCCATTACCCGGTCTTTTTCATTTCAGACAATGTTTTGAAATTTTGTAGTCATTTTAGACCATTCGGTTCCTACTCTTTCAGAATATGGAAGTCTTTCACGAAGCGCGCGAAGTCTAAAAATAGAATGCAAACTATTGGAACCCCTCGAGAGTAAGACAACATAAGCGTGTTCTGAGAGAGATAAAAGGAAAATGAACGCCAAATTTTCGTTTAAAAAATTGTTTTAGGAACACTTGCTTACGCGCTTGAAAAAGCGTCGAATCTTCCACCATTCCGTTTTGTTTGTCTGTGTTTGTCTGAGTTATGACGTCACTCGCGCGCTTCGCGTTGATATTGAAAATTAAAACTCGTGTTTTTCGATTATGCCCTTCGTTTGTGTGTACACAGCTTGATTTTTGCTCCAAAAGAAGAAAGAAATGTTTTCTATTCTGTCAGAACATGGAAGTCTTTGTAAGAAAGCCTAAGAGAAAATTCAATTAAAGTGCTCTTTGGTGGGGCATTTGTCGATATTGAATATTAAAACTCGTGTTTTTCGAGTATGCCCTTCGTTTGTGTGCACACAGCTTGAATATTGCTTCAAAAGAAGAAGGAAATGTTTCCTGTTCTTACAGAACATGGAAGTCTTTGAAGAACCTAAATAAAAAATTTAATTAAAGTGCTCTTTGGTGGGGCATTTGCCGATATTGAATATTAAAACTCATGTTTTTCGAGTATACCCTTCGTTTGTGTGTACACAGCTTTAGAATTTCTTCAAAAGAAGAAGTGAAATTTGGTGAATACGTCAAACTTGTAATTGTATTCCAGGTAAATTACGTTTGTTCATAAACAGGAATTATACCCGCGGCGGTGCGATTAAATGCAAAATTGAAAAGGTAATGATATTTCACATAGTGCTAACAGCTTTCCCTGAAGCCACAGGGTTCTATATACCTTTTTATATATACCTTTTTATATATATCTCAATTGAATTTAAGCTGGACAGTGTAAAAGAGGAAGATTTCTGCGTCAGTTGAAACTACTGCATTTTGAAAATTGTTGCTAGAGAACAGTATTGAGAGCAGAAGGAGCTGAACAAAAAATATTGATATTATACAAAGACGAAATTATTGACGACAAGATTTAGATAACTCAACCGCGCAAGCTTCACTGGATCTGACGATGGTGAATGAAACCGGAATACAGTGTTTGTTTCTGATATATCACGAAATACAGAAAACGAAATCTTTAACAACCATATCTGTGATTGTCTCTGTCTGGAATGGACTGCTTCTTGTGGTTGCTCTTGTTGCTAACGGGCTCGTGTCCGCGGCAATACTGAAAAACAGCGAGCTGAGATCAAGGGCGTCCAATACACTGTTACTGCTTCTGTCCATGAGTGACTTCCTCGTCGGCTTTGCTGTTCAACCGTTGTATCTGCTTCGCCGCTTATTGGAGCTGCAAGATCGCTACATCTGCTGGGTGATGGTCAGCTATAGAGTTCTGTGGCATCTGTCAATTGGAACTTCGTTCCTAATTCTCTCTTTCGTTGCATGTGAACGTTACATCGCGTTATTTTACACTTTCAAATACAACGAGATCATCACGATTTCGCGGTTAGTGCTCTTCACGGGTGTTTTCGTCGCCTCTTGGACGTTGTTCGTGATCTCGCGGTTTCTTGGCCTCAGTACAGGGAAGTATTATGCCGCAGCAACTTCATTCATCATTCTTTTCGTCAGCGTTATCATATTTGTCTACGTTCGCATCTACAGACTGGCCCGCCGTCATCAGTCTCAAATCAGCGTCATGTTCTCAACCCAGTCTACAACGGTTGCACGAGAGAGTAAAGTCACAAAAACTACAGCTTACATTGTTGGTGCTGTTTTAATATGTTACTCGCCGCTGTTAATATCTCTCGTGGTAGTGAAATTCTTCGACGACAAACTGTTTCATTATTATGTATTCCCAGTCACTGACTGCATGGTTTTTTGCAACTCGGCGCTCAATCCGCTGATTTATTGCTGGCGCAATACTGATTTGAGGCGATGCATTGGAAGAATGTTGGGAATTCGCAGTCGGAGAGAAACGCAATCACAGCAATTGTTTTCTACAAGACATCCGCAAATACGTAACGCTTCAGCAAACGCACAAAATGTCTCTTGGTAGTTGTAGTGCTGGATGACAAATTTAATGAAGATCTCTTGATATTTTAACGGGCAGTTTGCACTTCCTCTCCGCTGGATACGTCCATGAAAAAGAGAATCTGATCAGGTTAAAACATATACTGTTATCATCCACTAAACTATGGATTACTGGATACTTCATTCGCTTTCACTGGCTAATGTCTTGGCTCAGTTACAAGTACCAATGGCAAATTTCCTCTATAAGGGAGTCATGGTAGTTGTATTTATCAAAACAAGTTCCCGGTCCAGTTGCCATTGCGTTGTTTGGTCCTCTCTATCCATCCAATTCTATAGACGAATTTATACCGGTGAAGAACACGTTCCTTCGATGCCACACAAGTGTGAGAAGGGGGCTTGACGTGCAAGTCCAAAAACCATATGTGAAAGAGAATTTTTTTACAATCATTAGAACCTTAAGACTCCGTCACTAAGTGAAGTTAACGCCATTTTGGGATTGGATTCTTGCTTGATATCACCTCGAGCAAACATTAGGATTATACACCACGTACTTAATAATAGGTATTAACATGAATCTGCTAGCTAGCGTTCTATCACGAATGCCGTTAGCTGAATGGCTACGCAACTCAGTATCTATTCTATGATAGATAGTGAGTTGCGTAGCAAGTGTACTCGTTTACAAAATGACGGGCGCTTCTTGACGTTTTCGAAGTGTCTGTGAAAAGGATTTAGGTGAAAGTTTTGAAGGACTACTAGATTTGAACTAAAATAATTAGATTATTCGCTCTCGATTTCTATGCGTGATAGTTGCGCCCTCGTCAACTATCACGCGATAGAAATCTCGAGCTCATAATCTAATTGTTAAATAGAGGGAAATTGTTGAGAAGCCCGGTGAACATCAAAGAAGCAACCAAACCGGCCAAGATTTATGTTGGAACTGAGGACCTTGACCCTGCACATCTTTTGTTTTCTGATCATAGATTATGTATGAATTATATAATCGCAATGCTAGTGACTTCAATGCTTTTGTATTTTGATAGGGTTTGTGCAGGGTCTACCCCCAAAATAGCCAACAAAAACATGCAACAAGGAATTCTGCCAGGTTTCATAACCATTCCGTCTATTGACTATGGTTAATTGAAAAACAAAGCTTGAAAACTCATAATACGGTTTACTCTTTACCTCGACGTAAGCACGATACATAACAAAGCACTCAAAATCGCTGTTATTACGCCAATAAAAATGACTATGTGAATCATGTCTTCGTAATACAATAGATAAGATTTCCTAACGAAATAATCAACTGACGAAATGGTGTATGCCAAATATTTAAAATTTTACTTAAAAACAAAGTGATACTCAAATGAACTTACCAAATTGAGCAATATCTTATCATAATTCACTTGCTGTTACCTAAAAGAACCACCACTGAGTACTTTTTGAACGAAGCTTCCTGGATAAGACCAGGAGCCCGTTTCTCTAAAGCCCGTAAACCTTTCGGGCCCGGAAAGCCATTTTTAACTAGTCTTTATCTAAAAACAGAGGTGTATACACCCGAAACCTTTTGAATGAAGAGAACCTCTCTTTATATTAAGAATTTGTGAATAAAACAGTTCTGTAATCATAAAGTCTGAGATTTTGCTACGGCTTTTCGGGGGGCGAAAACTCTTCGGGACCTTCGAGAAACGGGCCCCAGGACTCATTTGTCAGCTTTGTAAGAAAGAGACAGTGCAATAAACAGTAGAATTAATAAGCAAAGAATTATTATCGTAAATCCAGCGAATTGGTTTTCAAGAAATCGCTAGGAAGTCATTAACGGCGGTATAAACAACTAGCGACAACTTCTAACAGCATTTTAAGTCTTCATTTTCTTGAGGACATTCCAGAAAGCTTGGAACTCTGTCAGTAACATCCGTACTCGCGTCCACAAACACCGGAGGAATTTGAAAGCGGAGGTTTCACTCTGAAAACGAAAGAAATGTTTTCCGTCATTTTGGATTTGTGCTCGAGTAAAACTCGGGCAGAGAAATCACATGGTCATTGTTACCTCATCGTTTTCGAAAAGCTTCAATTTCAAAATGTTTTCTGTCCGCACTAAAACGCAAAGCCGGCGTTTTCAAATTCCTCCGGTTGGAAGAGCGTTTTCGAAAAGCTCCGTTTTCGTGACGGATTAGTTTAGACGGTAAGCCTAACCGGAGAAATAAAGCTGCGTTTTCAAATTCCTGTAATCGGGGCCTAAGTCTTAATGTGCTTCAAAGATGTAAATTCAAACCGGGTTTAATTGCTCTATTACAGCATAAACACGTATAGCATTCAAGGAATGACTGCTGGCGGCGGGAATATTTACTTGACATTTTCCATACAATTCCAAAGGTATAAACTTGCGGGTTCCTGCAAAAGTGAAATTCAACTTGTCGCTTCCAAATAGGCAAGCGAGATCTTCTAGCTTGTCTGTCAGGCGTATTTCTTTTCTATCTTTCATCTGATCACCCATGTTATGTTTAAATCACCTTTAAAGTATACCAACATGTTCATTACGACCAGGTCCGTATATGGGTGAAATAAATAACATCGCATTGCCCTGTCACCCATTTATCACTTGTATCTTAACCCTGGTATATTTACAAATCTCATTCCACAGCAGTGTCTTTTAACGCCTAGAGCGTAATTTGTCACGCAAAAGAATATCTACAGAATTAACAATGCTCTACATTTGTTTCAAACTACCTTTAAACAGCTGCTCTTCTCCCTCCCTCCCCCCCCTCAGAAATTTTTCTGTCAATATTCCCCACCTCCTTTCCCCCATTATAAATAAAATCAATATCATTCACTCCGATTGTTTGTTTGTTTTTCAGTTTGTTTTCCGCTAACTTGTTTGCTTTTTCAATTTCTGATGATATATTATTATAAAGTGCTATTAAATTTCGTCTGAAGTCTGTACAAGGCGTTGTTTTCGTGTGTGTCTTTTTCACATGATATTATATTATGTTCATTGATATTTGAATTCTGATTTCATCCCTCAACGCGTGGCATTGTAACTTTTTTACAAGCAATCGCTCCTTCAAATAAAAGACGCAAAATTTTCTGCCAAATTAAAATACTTTCAAAAATTGACGTTTTTGTAGAACGTCTTTCATGGTGACGATATTGGAAGATTGAAAATTTGTTCCTTTTTAAAATAGAAATTGATCCCACGTTGAAAGAAACTTCGAATATAACTGCTGTGAATTCCTTCTTTTGGCAAATACAAGCGCGCAATGCGTCCTGGTAGTCTCGTGCTCGTGATGTCTGCGGAACGACTGCTAGGTATGTCGGGTGGGCCAGTGGCCTCCTTTCGTGTTACTTTCCCATGATTCCACCGGAGCACAGTAGCGTGACCGTTGACCGATCATGGCTGTTTTATAAAAGGGAGTCATTGCTCTTTTTTCTTTAAATTCCTCTTCGTTTGGCTACAGACTTCTTGATGTTACTTATGACCAAGTATGGATCAATGTTAACATTAACCGTCTGAAAAAAAAAATAAACAGGCGGCAAAGAGGAATTAGAAGATGTTAAGGGATTTTAGAAAACAATGCAACGCAAATATACACGAAATGTTTACGTACTCCAAATAACTGAAGCGAATCGATGTCCGCTCGCATCCTAGGAAATAAGAATCAGAACGCAGGTGAATACGTTTATTTCTACTTGTAGTCTAGACTTCATTCGTTATTCGTCTAAAGCATATAATGGGGTGTGCAAAGGGCTAATATTGCTACTCAGAAAATTTGCATAACAGGAAGAGAAACGTCAACAAAATGAATTACTTACGCTTCCGCTGGCCCACGGTACACAAGTCTTATTATTGTAGGAAGGTCACTTCCATCGGCTGAAGGGATCTGTAGGACAAGTAATGATCACTTGTTAGCATGGATTTGACTACCTGAGCTCAGCTTTCAAAACCGTTATAACCCGGTTGTCTGTCTACTTGTCTGTCCGCCTGTCTGTTTGTCTGTCCGTCTGTCTGTCTGTCTGTTGGTTTAACTGAGTGACTGTCTATCTGACTGCCTCTCTGTCTGACTGTCTGTTTGTTTAACTGACTGATTGTCCATCTGACGGTCTGTCTATTTGTCCGTTTAACTGACTGTCTATCTGAGTGTCTGTCTGTCGGTCCGACGAAGGTCTAATAATCGAAATGTCAGCTTTTCCAAATTCGCCACCACAGTAATTGTACCTTTGTCAAGTTGATGATGATGATCAACTACGCTTTTCACTTACCCGCCGACATAGCACAAAGTTGTTGCCTTTTTTCTGCCTCTCTGTCTGACTCAGTCAGACGGTCAGTCGGTCTGTCTGTCGGGCTTTGCGTCTGTCTGTCCGTCTATCTGTATGTCTGTCTGATTGCCAGTTATTCTCGTTTTCTTTCCGCTTTCTCGCTACTCACCAATTTTGGAAACACCATCCCTGCACTTATTGCATACAGTTCCATGTCATCTCTTAACGCTGGAAACAGAATTGTAAACAGAATATCAGGCCTTTCACGCTAAACTTGACCATACCTGATTTCTCATATAAAACTTACAAAACCTTTTTTGATAATGACAGGAGTCGCAATCTTTTGGCTGGGGGTATAACTGAAATATCAACCCTCGGCATAATCGAAGGTGCATATCTCGTTTATGCACCTAGATAATGGTTGCAACGTTACTTAGAGGTGTTTAACAGTTGCAAACATTGATATGGAGCTGTTAACGACCACCACTTGAAATATGAAAGACTAATTAATAAAGGCACATCCCGTTCTTAAGTGTATAAGATTATTCTGTTCGTGGAAAATCCTTCGGTTGATTTTACGAACTAAAACTTAACGAAGAAGTCCGCGTCGAGTACAAGCACTCCGGAGATGGGTCAGGCACATATGAAAAAACTTTGCACTAACTTTTTGGATTACCTCGAACCTAATTAGTTTACAAAACAACAAGCAGGTGCCAAAGTAACTGCGACTGACGGTTCTTTATATATTTCATTCAGTGCCAAAAGGCCATACGCGTATTGTCAGTATTGGACTGGAACTAGCTTGCAGCCGAAGCTAATGCGGGGAATTTTTTCAAATGCAAATGACATCAATCTCGTTTTAATGATATTCCCCCTGCATGAGCCTCCATTGCAAACTAGTTCCAGTCCAATACCGAGAATACGAACATGGCCTATCTGAAAAACTGCACATCAGTCGTCACAGATTTGAAACCCACTGTACAAAAGAATTGTGGGCCCACTGATTATTGAAGCGAACAAACGGTTATGTTACAGAGTTGGGAGTAAAACTAACTTACCTGCTACACAGTAGAACAGAAGTTGGAATAGATCTTTAGATGGCTCTTTGCTAAACAGCATGATCTCGTGAGACGCGCTTGGAGTCTAGAAGGTACAGAACATCGGAAGTCTATTAAAGGAGCTACGTCACCATTAGCGCATCTTGAAAAGTTTAGTCTTAAAGCTTCAAGTTCGTCGTTTGTAATCCGTGTTAATCTTCTCCATCCTTAACCATCCTTGTTCTTTTATAGTTCATTATTATCTCTTTGGTGTTTTTCTCTCTTAGTAAACTTACATTTTCAGGTTTCCTTCAATTTAAAGGCAATTTTGTGCGTGACCAAAATGTAACTCAAAATACCGCTCCTTTAAAAAACGCGCTCTGTAAGCGACAAGAGTGGGTAACCCCAATCTCGTTTACAGAGGCCGCGATCCTTTCATCTAAAACAAATTTGCATTTTACCATTTTCATACACTGAAAGGGCTAATGGCGGTGCTGACAGTTGTTCTGTACGTATTGAGGTTATGATTCATGTTTTTGCGTGTTTTCCAACACAATTCCATGGTTTTAGGTTGACCAACTTTCCAAATGCTCATTCGCCATGAGACAAAAGGACCGTACAAAACATCACCTGATTTTACACATTCCGACAGTGAAAGATGGTCATCTGAGGCCCGTTTCTCGAACGTCCCGGGAACTTTTCGGGCCCACAAAGCCATTTAAGTCCATCTATATCTAAAAACGGAGAGGTGTATACGCCTGAAACTTCTTGTATGAAGGGAACTTCTCTTCATATTTAGAATATGTGAATAAAACAGCTCTATAATCTTAAGGTTCGAGATTTTGCTATGGCTTTACGGACCCGAAAAGTTCCCAGGACTTTCGAGAAACGGGCCCCTGAGCCGAGTTGTTCAAAACGTGATTAAGCTAATAGATTGTTTTCACTGTCACGAAATAAAAAAATTAATCAAACACCATTTGGTGAATGAAGTCAAGAAAATGCGATCTTACAGAAGATAAATAGAGACGACACTTTTCCATGTTTTACGTCTGTGTCCTATCCCAGACTTCAGATATTTGTTGAAATGTTTCGCACAAATTTACAGAGCCCAGTATGGGGCCGCCATATGGAGGTACACGAACATGGTCGCCGGAAAATAGTGCATTGGTTTCCAAACGAACGACGCTATTGAGCTGAAAGGTTGTCAAGATA